TTTAGGAGACGGATTACGGGGTCCTTTTGAGATGGTTCGACGATACTTCGGCAGCCATGTGTGCTGGACGGCGTTATATCGATTGCGACGTTAACCCTACGTCTTTACCATGTGCTTTTTGAGATTTGGTAAATTTTATTCCTGTTGAAGGTGAGTCTAATTGTATTTTCTACAATGTTTTCGTCCTATTTTGCATCAATAACCGAGCACAGCTTTCTATGCATTTGTAAAGTATTTATTTCTAAAGAGTTTGTCAGGTTTTCTTACGGTTTGGGTCGATTTTATGCCAGCAAAAGAATCATTCAGTCAAAGGATTTTGATGCCAATGTCCATGCACATTCAGTTTCCTCTGCAGTTCAATGCGTTCAATGTCCATTTGGTCATCACTGGAACATGTGAAACCCTTTTCAAGGGTCAAATTCCCTACGGGGAGCTAATAATCTCTTTCGAGAGATCGAAAATTCCCTTCGGGGAGCTAAAAATCTCTTTCGAGAGATCGAAAATTCCCTTCGGGGAGCGAATAGTCTCTTTCAGGAGAGCGAAAATTCTTTTCAGGAGGAATTTAAAATTGCCTTTGCGAGGCAAAGAAATCCAGTATTGTTCCTAGCACTCACTTCTTTTGGGAGACAACGGACTACCTCGTTTTGGAAGCTATGAATAAGGCCATAATAAGTCCTGTATTTGTTGAACAAAGACATCTAATTGAGCATGTCGAGTGTTTTTGTCCAAATACTTGCCATTCATAAGTTCACTATAGATTAATAGTTTCTGTTGCATTTTATGCCTATGTCTCAGATTAGAACTTTGCTTTCAGTACTTTACGTATAGAACTTTGCTGCATTGCTTTCAGTACAAAAGTTGTGGTTCATGTTGTAAGATTAAATAATATATTGTTTATGTTAGAATAAACTTACAGTTCTCTTCACACAAAATGTTTGTGGTAAAAGGTACCAGCTTAATCCCTTCTCACCAGTATTCTGTGCAAAGATTTTTACAAAGTTTTCTTTTTTATCCCTATTCTATTTCCACTCCTCCCTCTTCGTTTTCATTTCAGTCTTATTTTCTTTTCTTCAATTCTTTTATATTACATTTCTATACCAGTACTGCAGTAGACACATGCAGTCTTAGGCTGCCTATTTTTACTTTATTTTATTAGCTTCCCCTGTTACTGAACAATGAATAATAAAGAAATGCTTTATAGGCAGGGGTGCCACAACAGCAGTGAGCCAATTACAGTGGTCCCAGGATAATGGTCCACAGTTAATCAAGAGTTCACGCAGTTCACCTCCACCTGGGAGTTTAAGCGTGTAACCTCCTCACCACATTACTCTAAATCAAACAGAAAGGCAGAATCAGCGGTTAAAGTTGCCCAGACCATAATCAAGAAAGCTCTCAAAGATGGTAAAGAAAAGATCAAAGAAAACAAGCAGAAGGCCAAATAGTAACATGATCACACAGCCAAGGTACTCCCGGAAATTGAAGTCGGACAGGAAGAAAGGATTGCACCTCTTGAACGTAATCAGACCCGGAAGAGTGGCATATTTGTGAAAAAGTATGCAGATCATTCGTATCTAGTTAAGACACCTCAGGAAACAGTGCATAGAAAGAAAAAGCCTGAAGTCAGCACCACCGTTATGACATACTCCTCCCCCGACAGGACGACTCCCGACACCCTTCAGCGTCCCCCAGAGTCTGAGCAGACAGAAGGTCGTACTCTGACGTCACTACCCAATTTTCTTGGATGGATAAATTACCAAATTTTCTTAGCTGTGGGGCTCTGCTCGGGTGCACAAAAGCGCCCGCAAGAAGCTCAGCTATTATAACACCACAAACAGCAAAAAACACAAGACGATCTCCACGAAGGAATAAGAAAGAAAAAAACTTTGAAAGCAGCATAGCAAGGTTGCATTCACAGAGTTCATTAGGAAATGAGAAGTCTCTAAAAGTTGGGTCAAGTGTGTGAGCTGCCCTGACAACCAAACCTCAGTTAGATGGAATGGGTATTTCTCTATCCATCATAGGCAAAGAAAACATCCTGTGTAAGCCTGCTTGGCTTACCAACTCCGAGCATTATTGCAAAAGAGCATACTTGACGGATATTAATGTTTCCAGAGCATAAAGTAACCTTTGTGAATGACAAAGTTTAAAAACAAACAGGAATGCAAAACTGCAGCCTTTTTTGCACTAGCATTTGCAGCAGATTTGTGCCATGGCCTTGACCCAGTGAACAAAAGGTATGTCAAAAATACTTTGTGCAGCCACTACATTAGTTGCCTTGAAAGCAGGGCGATAAGCCAAAACTAAGTGAAGAGAGCCTCTACACTTTGTTGCCAACAAGACACAAATTGCAATTTACTGCACCTGCAGACTACCAAATGATCAGAACAAATATGTTGAGTGCTTAAAATGCAGAGTGGTATCATCCTACATGTGTTACCATACCAGCATGGGCATTTCATTCCAACTTCCAACAAAAAGTGGAGATGTGACAAGTGCAAAGAAGCCGCTGGGAAACTTAGAGAAAATAAATATCACACACTTTAGGCTCTTTATAGAACTACTAAGACATTAAGTGGGTAATGGCACCTTCAAGGTAACAGGTCATTTAGCCTCATCTTGTGATCTAGCCCTGGATATTTGTAAGTAATACAAGCTCCAAAGCTCCTGAGTAGAGAGTTAGCACTGCTGCGCTTGGTTGCCTCAAATTTTTGGAAGTAAAGGACGAAACAAAATCAGACTTGTCTCAAGGAACTCAGATCTCTTCATCGTCAAGCGTAAGCAAAGAGCTCCTCTAGAGCAAAAGATAATATTTGCTGATACGACAAAAGAACAAGAGAACACCCACGCTAAGCTAAAACATAAACAAGCACTAAGTGAGACACTCACCAGAGAAGCAGTTTATCAAGTAGCGTTAAATGTGAGAGATGAAAACAACAAGGATGAGTCGCTTTCACAGGTGGTCCCCAAGGGCTTAGGAAGAATCATGCACAGTTTTTTGTACGCACAAAAACCTCTGAAACGACAAAGTCCTCAGCAAGTATCATGAAAACATCAGTTTCTGTCAAACAATCTCTATCACTCAAAAAGCAGACACAAGTCTCTTAAACACAGCCCTCAAGATCTGTCACGCAGTCATTGAGTTTTGTAACACAGTCTTTAACGTCGGTCACACATGGCTGTCAGTTCTCAACACCAAAGGTGATCATGTATATGATTATTATCTTCATACAGGATGTTGCCCAGTATCCGGACACTTCAGTTTAGCATCGCAATAACTTTCCTTTGTTAGTCGCAAGAGCTCTGAAATTGGACCAGAGAAAGTCTATTTAGTCCTTAATATGAAGAAAGACAGTGGTTTGCTAGCTCAGTTAACCAATCTGCAAACAATTTTTTTTCATTTTAAATTTTTAAAAAAAAAGCTTGGGGAAGGGACCTCAATGCAAGGGTCAAAGGTCACTCTTCCATTTAGTCTGACCTACAGTGTTGATTTCTTCATGCTCAGTCCCTACAGACCCTACACTAATTCCTCCTACTTTCACATCTCTCAATCCTGTTGTGACATTTTTTCGACGGTTGCAACCCCATTCTAGCAGTCACAACTGGGGAAAGTATGAGAATTCCAGGTTCAACTCCAATGATTTTGGTTATGCAGTCACACGAAACAAGCGGTGCACACGAAATCAAGTTGCCTCCGAATGAGTGAAGAAAATGCACATACGGAGTTGACTAGAATTATATTTTACAACTATATCGCATATCCTAAGCTTTAATTATAGTTATAGATGTGAAATAGATCTTATCCGGATAATGTACACAGCTAATTCATTGATTCTGAACAGCAAAGACAAAACTGTCCGGATACTAGGCACCTGACATCAATACTTAGTGAATGTTTCTGGGATCCGTTATTCCAAACAAATCGAATTTCAAGAAGAATTAATAACCGTTCTGAGAACCTGATTTCTTAAAGTATCTTCACTTTTAATATAAACCGTTTCTTTCAAAATATCACATATTACCTACCCTTTTCCGAGCAGCACTAATTTTACTACACAGTAAACAGCCTAAATATTAGCCATGAAATGTTTATTGACCTGAACAGAACAGGGTCTTCTGTGACTGTTTCGCAAGCTTTCAACTCGACAAAACCTTCATCTTAAAGCCGAAATGTTCAGCTTTCGTTCGAAATACTTCGTTTACTGATAACTGAAAAGGGCCCCTCAAAAATTGAGTTTTTGTTTTAAGTGCCCCGATACTGGGCAACATACTGTACTCGATTCCAAGTTTCATGCATTTTTTTTTTGGACGGCGGTATGAATAAAAAATGTCATGTAGAAAATGCGAGGGGTGCTTTATACATAGTTCCTTGACTGCTTTTCAGCAATAATTGTTTTCCAACATCTGTAAACAGTTGGTTCTGTGCTTATTTCAACAGACAGGATTCTTGAAAAAAAAACATGTTTGAATGAGGATTGACGATCCTCTGTTAACTGACATAGAAACCCGCGTATAAGAAAAAATGGATTGAGATCAGACTGAAATTTGGCCCCTGAAGCACCATATATATTAGAACCAGTTCAGTCTGATAAATTAACCAAGTTATTATAGAATAAGGGACAGAGTGACAGAATAAGAAAGCAATGTAACTATAGTTGCTGCTAGACAATTACAAAACTATAACAGTTGCCTGTTTGTCTAGGATTTTTGTTTGCTTACTTAATTATTCATAATAAAAATATGCTAACTAAACCTCTACTAACACGTTATGTGTAACATTTCAGAAACGAAGTTTAAGAACGTATTAAGAACATCTTTAGGCTGATTTCTCACAAAGCACCCAATAAATATGAACTAGATCAGCCTGAACCCGAAATCATGTGTTCTTATATGTGGGTGTTTACTGTACGGCATTTACACTGATAGTTTCTCATTTTTGTTCTATGCAGGAGATTGCCCGACAGTAACATAGCAACGAAGATATATGTACCACTACTGCCAGTGATCATGTTGTAGCTGAAGGACCCAACAATTGTGAAGTGGTTGCTTCAGCGGGGCAGTTTGATGACGATTTTGCCCTTACCGGTGGAAAAACTGCCATTTCAAGTCTGGAAGAAGGAGAAAGTCATTTTGTAAGGACCATGGTTGACAGAGGAACACAGAAGCCCATAATACCGATGATTAAATGAAAGAATCAAGCTTACAGAAGGAAAAGAGAAATGAGGGCAGACATTATCGAAATTGTGCAAAACACCGAAATGAAATGTCTTGTCTGTGCCTGGTGACCAGAGTGACCTTTTGCAAGAGATAGTACACAGCAAAAAAATGGCACTCCACATTTGGTTTCTCTGGTGGGTTCAGTGGGCCCAACATTGTTGTCACTAGTGAAAGAATATCAAGAGTCTGCTGTCAAAGAAAAGAAAACAAGAAAAAAGGAACAGAATGGCAAAATAATTTATATTAGCAATTCCTTGAAAAACTCCAGAATAACTCCTACTGGGGAAAAAACACCAGAACATGCACTTCAAAAGAAGAACGAAGTAGAAGATGACAGAAGACACCTGCTTTCCACTGTTGCTACGGACTATCCATACCATGTTTTACAGGAGCTCTTTCATTGTTCATCCAAAACAGTTACTACAGCATAA